ACACAGCAGGCACTTGGAGCGGAGTCCTGCACCTGGGTGATGTTCCAAGCCGACAGATTTGCTGCCAATGGCCACAGGGTGAATTCAAGTCAGGCCGAGTTGCCATAGCTCAACATTGGGTGGGCAGTCTCGGGATCACTGGGGCCGCAATCTATGGATGGTCACCGGGGCCAACGTGGCCGGCAGCAAGAAAGATGACCAATCACCTTTGTGAATCTCTGACGCTCACCCTGGTGCTCAACCGCCAGGGATGTAGATTCATTGCCGGAGATTTCAATCACATGCTAGAAGACCTTCCAGCAATTGACATGTGGAGAAGCATGGGCTGGCGAGAAGTGCAAGAATTGAATTGGGAGCTTCATGGAGACCCCATTCAACCCACTTGCAAAGGAGTCACCAGAAAAGACTTTGTTCTATGTTCCCCGGAGCTGGTGGCACTCTTTCAGAGATCAGAGGTCTTGCCTGTCTTCTCAGATCATGCTGCAGTCTGTGGTTACTTTCCTCCCAGTTCCGTGCCCAAATGGATCTGGCTGCGCCGACTAGAGTGGAAGAATGGCGACATGCCGATCAAGCGGAAGTGAAGCTGGAAACCGAGCCGGATCAGTTCAATGGTCAATGGCCGAAGACAGTCTGAACACGTAATCTGCCCAGCCAATGGAAAGGCAGAGGACAGCACATGAAGCCCGTCCAGCAACCTAGACAGGCACCACTTCTGAGGACATCCAGACAAGGAGATGTGCGGCTTGCCTCAGACTTTGTCTCCAGAGGAGTGCAGCTTTGGTTCAAACAACTCAGACGGTTGCAAGCGCTCAAGCAGAACTTGCAAAGAAACTCGGACACCGCGCAGTGTGTTTGCTTCAGACTTGAAACCTGGAGTTCCATCCTGAGAGCCAAAGGGTTCCGAGGCGGCTTTGCTTCATGGTGGAGAACACGTCGCATTCGGCTACAGGGCTCGCCGGAGGATCTGGAGAGGGTTCTTGTGGCCAGGACAGTGATTGACAGAATCTTTGAGGACTTCATGCAGAACTATAGGCAGTTTGAAAGCTGGCACCTGAGACAACAGAGGGAGATTGGCAAAACGAAGATCAAGCAGCATCAGCATCTTGCCTTCAAGCAGATTAGAGACAAAAAGAAGGACTACATTGACACGCTGTCAACAGCAGCCACCACCGAAATCATGGCTGTCTCTACTGACGGCAAGCAGATCCAGTTGGAGGAGGAGCTTGGTGGCACCATCCATGACCATCTATCATGGTGGATTGAAGGCATCAATGAGGTGCGGCTCAAAAGACTTGAAGGCACTCTTTATGAGATTGAGGAAGCGGATTGCCTTGTGCTTGAAGGTCAGCAGATCACTTGCAGAAGTCACTGTGTACAAGTTCACACAATTCACAAGGCCCTTGGAGAATTTTGGCAAGCTAGATGGAGCAAGCATGCAGACATCCCTCATGAAGCTTGGGAACGAATCCTTGCATTTGGTAAGTCATTCCTGCCATCTGGCAGACTGAGGTACACCCCCATCAGCCTGACCACTTGGGACAGGGCGAATGCTGGATATGGAGATCTGTCAGCCCGTGGACCTGATGGCTATCATCCACGTGAACTTCAGAAGATGCCCAAATCCTTCCGTGAACCCTTGCTTTCAATTCTGGAACAAGTGGAGATGGAGGGTCGATGGCCTGCACAGCTCCTCACGGGCTTCACTGCATGTTTGGCCAAATTGGAGGGGCTGAGACGGTAGGACAGTTCCGTCCGCTTGTGATTTTTTCTGCAATTTACCGATCTTGGTCGACGGCCAGGGCTAGACCTCTGCTGAAGTTTCTAGCATCGATAGCTGATGACACACAGTTCGGCTTTCTACCAGGCCGCGAGAGCTTGGAGATTTCCTTTCTTCTGCAAGGACTCATCGAGCTCATGACACTCACTGAGGGACAAATGACAGGCTTGGTGACCGACATTCAGAAGGCCTTTGAGTGCATCCCACGTCACCCAATGCTTGAGCTTGCACTTCATATTGGTGCCCCTGAGCCGATCCTCAATGCTTGGTCCTCATTCCTTGGCAACATGGAAAGACGGTTTCAGGTCAGGGGTGAGATTAGCGAGGCTCATATTTCCAATGCTGGTGTTCCTGAAGGCTGCGCTATGAGTTGCTTTGCTATGGGGATAGTGGACCTCTGCTATCACTATTACTCCAAGCACTTTGCACCAGAGGTAGTTCCACTGACCTTTGTGGACAACATAGGTGTGTTAGCAGAGCAGGCAAACCAACTTTTGCATGGCACATTAGTTCTGCAGGAATTCCTGAGTCTTTGGAAGCTTGACATGGATGCGAAAAAGAGCTGGACCTGGTGCACTAATCGAGCAGATATGAGCAAACTGCATACATTGGGCTATGATGTGCGTACAGAAGCTGGAGATCAGATCTGGGTATGCAACACTGTTACACCGGACACAAGAGGGTGGGTGTGCAGCTCCACAGGCTTCATGCACTGGAACATCTGTGGGGTAAGCTCAGGAAGCTCGATGCAGACCAGACATTGAAGCAACATATCCTAGTGACAATGTTCTGGCCCAAGGCCTTTCATGGCATATCCGTTTGCCTGCTTGGCAAGAATCACATTGACAGCTTACGCACACAAGCGCTCAAAGCACTGGGGCACGGTCGGGCAGGGGCTGCTCCTTTGATGCGCATGCTCTTGGGCAATTCCTTGCTCTGTGATCCAGGATACTATCAGTTGCAGCGTGTTCTTTGTGACTTCCGCAGGATGTCAGACAAACAGGATGAGGTGCTGCATTTGTGGACCCTGCACTGGAATGCATACACGGGAATTGTCCGAGCTGGACCGTTTTCCGAACTGCTGGAGGTGCTAGAAGCCATCCAATGGCACATCCTTGAGCCACCATGGGTACAACCACATGAGGGCTATCCCATTGACCTGCTTGCTGCACCACAAGAAGTTCTTGAAGATTTGCTTAACAGCGCCTGGGTTGCTATGGTGAGTCGTCAAGTGAGGCGACGGACAGATTTTCAGGGTTTGGTCTGCCTGAACAGGCAAGTTCTTCTGCGAGCTTCTGTGAAGTTGAGCCCGCTAGCACGGGCCCAAATAGCTGCCCTGCACGAGGGCGCATTCATGACAGCTAAGCAACAGAGTAAATTTGACACCTTTCAGAGTGGCAATTGCTTGCTTTGTGGACAGCCCGATGATCTAGACCATAGAATCCTTCATTGCCCAGCGCTGGCTCAGGCCAGAGAAGGACATGACGTGGCTTTGGCTGAGTGGCCCACTCTCACACCAAGTCGACGTGACAGACTCCTGCCTGAACAATTTTCTCATTGGCAAGAATGGCTCCTTGAACTTGGACCCCTGGAACCACCCACATTTCACTTTCAGCATTGCTCACAGAATCTGGAAAGTTGGGTTGATCTCTTCACAGATGGTTCCTGCAAGAACCCAACCGTGGTTGAGGGTGCATTGGCCACATGGGCTTGTGTCTCCGCTACGCACGCATTGTGTCTGGCGTCGGGACCTTTGACGGGACCAGCACAGACAGTTGACAGAAGCGAGGTCACTGCACTTCTAGCGGCACTGACTTGGGCGGATGAAACCAAAACCAAGGTCACCATTTGGATGGACAGCGCCTACACAGCCACTGGACTCTGGAGACTACTGGAAACACCAGACTTGTTGCCATACAGCTCCAATGAGGACCTCTGGACCCTGTGCCAGGAGCTTGTGAAAAGGGTGGGTGATTGCATCCAAGGACAGCACATCAATTCGCATCGCACAGAAGATGATTGCATGAATGCAGTGGACTCTTGGACCATGTTCTGGAATGAAGCAGCTGATAGAGCTGCTGCTGCCGCTCACACCATGCATTCCAGAAGAAAACTGCAGCTTTGGACTGCGCTGTGTGATCACCAGCGTGCTGAACTTCATAGGCAGGAAAGACTGCAAGCCTTGCATTTGTCCATCGCAGAGGCTCGACGTGTGCTGAGCCAACAAATGGATGAGATAGCCCGTGATGCGGAAGGCCCAGCAGATCATGAGCTAGATCAATTGCATCTGTCAAGGGAGGGAGACAGCTCACTATTTGACCTTTTGCCAAGTACTTGGCTTGCTGATTCCCAAAGGTCGAATAGTTTTCTTGGTTTTGGCCTCTGGGGTGTTCGTACAGGCTCTGCAAGAGATTGATACTTCCCCTAGAGCTCTTTTGGTTTCGCTTGAACTAGCCATTTCGGCGTGGACACACTTTCGAGGTAGAGTCCCAGTGGCCGGACGCAAGGGACAATGGCTGGACCCGGGGGAAGGCAACAACCTGCTTGCTAGCGGTCAGACGCTGGCGGCTGTTTTGAGACTTGTTCGGAGCTTAGTTAGGTGTTTGATCTTTGAATGTGGAGCGGATGTTGCCGAATACTCGGGCCTGGACCTATCCATGTGTGGTGTTGCGCCCCCCCAAAGGGGGATTTGCTTGAGGTGGATGCCAGGTCGAATCCATGATGTTCGTCTTGCTTTGACTGAGTTTTGGAGGCGTAGGATTCGAACGGTAAACGACCTGGCGAGACCACTACGTAGAGTGGAGACCTGAGACCCTGCGCTACGGCGCCACGGACTGCTGCGGACTGCTCACCGCGAGGGTGCTGTGGGCGCGCAGCGAGCGCAAGTGTGAGAGTGAACAAAACCTGCCTCCAAAAGGTCGTGAAAACGATGCCTTGAGCACTTCGCGCGTTGCCATGTCGATCTTCCTTTGCATTTGACGTTGTCTTTCGGAGGGAAGACCTCCCATCCAACACAAAGACCTAAAGACACCAACACAAAAACAAGATGTAACGAAATCAAGGCACCGGCAGATCAGGGAAGCATCACATCGCTGAAGGTACCGCAGCGTACGCTTGAGCACCGGCAGGTCTGAAGACTAACGAAAAGAATTGCGAAACTGTTTCGGAAGAATTTTTGAAAGAAAAAGGCTCACACAAATTTCACAAAAGCAAACCTTGCTTTCTTTTTCACATGCAAGTACTGTGTCTGGGCATAAGCCACCGGACCTAGGACCTAGCCGGCCCCCGGGCGCTTCAAAATGGGACGTGGTGACACACGTTTAAACCGTGTCACTGTCGGCGAAAAATCACAACCTTCAAGTTTTGATACAGATAAGCATGGCCACAGCCGCACCAAAGCGATGCGCCATGCTCCTCCACAGCTTCCAATATATAACCAAGAAACTGATCTTGTCAAATCAATTCGAACACACATATATTGTCCCGGCAAGAGACCCCAAACAGTGTGTGTGAGGTCTATAAGCAGAAAGCTTAGAGATCTAGACGCATTGGGGTCCAGAGAGGTGATGGTGGTGATGAAGGCGGGGATCGTGGTGATGGTGGCGGTGGTGGTGAGTGTGACTGTGAGTGTCAGTGTGAGTGTCTGTGCGTGTGAAGTGTGAGTGAGAGTGTAAGTGTGAAGAGCGAGTGTGAGAGTGGAGAGTGGAGAGTGGATGGGTGAGTGAGTGAGCGAGTGTGGGGTGGGTATGGGTGGGTGTGAGTGAAAGTGAGTGAGTGTGAGTGAGAGTGAGAGTGAGAGGTGCACCAAGCGCTGCCCCTGCCACGAAGTCTGCACTTCGAGGCTCAAACAGCGCTGTGCCTGTCACGAAATCTTCACGCCGAGGTTCACAAAGCGCTGCGCCTGTCACGAAATCTGCAAACGAGCCACATTTCCAAACGTTGCGATTCACTGCGCCTGTCACGAAAAGTTAACTTTGGACCACCAAAACACGAGGTTTCCCTCGCACGGCGCCACAACGAGAGCGCAGTTGCGACAAGCACGCGCTCCAGCCACCCAGATTTCGCAAGCCTGCGCAGTCGAAATGCACGTCGACGATTTCGAGAGGCATGAATGTACTGAAATAGCAGCGAATTAGCCGCACACGCCCGCGCGGCACAGCGATCTAAGCACAGCTGCTTAACTACTACCGTAAGAACTCCTAAGTGTGTCCACACTGTTTGGGGAATAATTCAAAACTTTACTGGAGTTTGCCATCTGCACTCTGCATTCTGCAGGCGGTTGAAAACATTTGCCTCTTGAGACAAAAAGGTTTGAGAAATGACCTACGGCGATTTAGTAAGGTTGCGTTTAATCTTTCAACCTTAGACCTTCTTGATTTTTCCGTTTAGATTACTGATAAGCGTTCTCATCTTCTCATCCTTCCTTTTCCTCCACCTGTTACTTTAGACTCTAGACCTTTGCGGTGTTCCCTTTTAGGCCTCTTTTAAATTCTTCCTTTGACCTTAAACCGTCTGGCTCTTCTTTTAATAAACCTTTCTGGTTCATCCTTTACTTCAAACCCCTTTCTGGTCTTCCTTTTACTTCAAATACCTTCCTGATTCTTCATTCTGCTTCAAACACCTTTCTGATTCTACCCTGTAATTTCGACCAGTCTGATTCTTCCTTTTTTGATCTGTCTGATGTCTCCGTTTGACTTCACACCTTTCTGCTTTACACCTTTCTGATTGTTATTTTAAACTTTCTAGCCTTTCTGACTTTCTTTTACTTCAGACCTTCCTGGTCCGTCGTTTTACTTCAGACCTTTCTGGTTCTTCCGTTTGCGTTGGACCCTTCTGCGCCTTTTCCTTTAGACCCTTCTATTCCCTTCTTCCTTTTCCTCTGTGAAATTTCCTCTTCCTTCTACTTTAAGCCATTCTGGTTCTTCTGTTTACTTTAGACCTTGCTGATTTTTCCGTTTACTTTCGACCTTTCTGAATCTTTCTTCTACTTTCGACCTTTCTGATTATTCCTTTTACTTGAGACCCTTTAATTCTTCCCTTTACTTTAGACCTTTCTGCTTCTTCCTTTTCCCTTGGACCTGTCTGATTCTTCCTTTTCCCTTGGGCCTTTCTGGTTCTTCCTTCTACTTTTAAAGCTTTCCGATTTCTCCTTCTACTTTGAAACCTTTCTGATTCTTCCTTTACTTCAGACCTTTTCTGATTTTGTTCTTACGTTAAAGCTTTCGGCTTTTCCTTGAGTGCGGGGGGCTGGGAGGGCGCAGTTTTCTTGATTTCATTTGTCGCTGAACGTTTGAACTCTTCACTGGCTGGACTGTAAAAATGCATTCGTTTGGATTCAAGGACAGCCCATGGAAGGTTTATATTCAAATTTAGTTGTTTATAATGTGGTTCCATTTTTGTTGCATTCTAATTGTGAAACGTGCTCTTTTCAGTTTAATTTTTTCAGAAATCCCAACTAATTGGCTTTGCACTTCTAATTTGATTCTATTTTAGTTCTAATGAAATTGTAACTTTTCCTGATTTAGTTTTCATTTAATGAATTGGCTAAGCCGCCTGGAAGGTAAGGGATTGCCCAGCTTATTCTATCAAACGGTAAGGAATGAAAGGAATGCGCTAGATCTCTAGCGGCCCTATCTATATTTACAAAAGCAGTCTACTTTGGACCTTGTTGGTTCTTCCTTCTACTTTAAACTTCTCTGTTTTTCCCTTGAACTTCAGCCCTTTGGTTTATCCTTTCCTTGTGTGCCTTTCTGCTTTTTCCTGTTCCTTTAGACCTTTCTGATTCTTCCTTCTCTTGATTTTTGCTGTTTTTTGATTCTTCCTTTTACTTTAAACCTATCTGATTCGTCCTTTTACTCTAAGCCTTTCTGATCTTTCGTTTTACTTAGACAATGTTTGTTCGGTTCTTCCTTTTCCGTTAAACCTTTCTGTTTTTCTCGTCGCTCTCGACCTTTCTGCTTCTTCCTTTTGCTTGATACCTTTCCGATTCTTCCCTTTGCTGTAGGCCTTTAGACTTTTCTGGTTCTTCCTTTTACCTAGGACCTTTTTGATTCTTCATGTTCCTTTCTCAATTTGGATTTTACATGTTCTATTAGACCTTTCTGATTCTTCCTTTTCCTTTAATTGAACCTTTCTGACTGTCCTTTTTGCTTCAGACCTTTCTGATCCTTCCCTTTCCTGTAGACCTTTCTTATTCTTCCTTATGTTTTTGATCGTTTGTCCCTTTCTGATTCTCCTTTTGCCTTCGACCTTTCTGATTTTTCCTTTTCCTTTCGGCCTTTATGATTTTCCGTCCTTTGGATCTTTGCGGTTCTTCCTTTTGTTGTCGGTCTTTCTCATTTTGTGTTTTGCTTAAGACCTTTCTGGCGCTGCTTTTTAAAGCCTTTTTGATTCTGCCTTTTTACTCTTGACTTTTCTGAATTTGTCTGTTTCCTTTAGACCTTCCTGATTCTTCCTTTTTGGGGACCTTTCAGGTTCTTATCCTTTTTCTGTAGACATTTCTGACTGTCCGTTGTACTAAACCTTGTTGATTGATCGCTTTACTTTAAACCTTTCTGATGTTTTCTTTCGCCTTAGACTTTTCTGATTCATCTCAGAATATGTGCCACATTATGCACTCTATTTTGCAGAATGTTTGCCAGTTGATGGCGGGACAAATGTCGGAGCACATGTCAGAGGACATGCCGTACCCAAGCCGGCCCATGTCACAGCACATGTGACTTCACGGCAGGAAAAATGTCAGAACATGCTGAACACGCCAACAAGGACGTCAGAACACAGTCCAGAACATTTCCCAGCCTTTACGATAGATGATGTATCGCACAAAATTGCGTCAATCCGCTCCGCCTTTGTCAAGCTAGTCTGCCAAAGCCCTGCCTTTCAAATCGCCTTTGGTTGGGACCACTCGGAGTAATTTATCATTATCATGTCTTGCTTCAAACCTTTATATTCGGTTTTTCTTCAAGCTTTTCTGTGTGAAAGAACAGCGCAACGAGCAACACAGGCAGAAGAAATGCGCCAGAACTTTGTGAAATATGCTGCTATTTGGGTTGTCTAGGCCTTTCTAGACCTCTCTGTCTTTCTTTTTTCCTGCGTATTTCCATATGTCATCTAAAACTTTCTGCTGTCTTATCGTTTTTCCCTTTCGAATTGATTCGAATTGTGTGTTTGATTCTCCTTCTTTTCATCTACACCTTACTGCGTTTTTGCTGGCTTCCTTCAAACCTTTGTTTCTCTGTTCCTCTTTCCCCTAGACCTTTCCGTTTTTTCCTATTGTCTTTTTAGACCTGTCTGCTTGTTGTTCCTTTATTCCTGCACACTTCTCTACTTTCTTTATTCCTGAAGACATTGGGACTTGCGGCGGCCTAGTGGCCCTATTGTAGAGATGAAGGAGCAAGTTCTTTGGTGCAGCTTCAGCGTCTGCCAAAAATTGGCGCAAACCCCCTTTGGGGGTCGCCTTTCAGCGAGCCTTTCACCTCTCGCTATCCACCCCAGACCTCGAAAAGCTGCTTGAAAAACACTGTGAAGCAAGAGGCATTTCCGGCCTCTTGGTGCAAAGAGCCACCGCAGAATTGACAGAAACGGAACCTTGGCTGCACCTTGACAGCGAAGACGCGAAGTCGTGAAGTTTACTCAAACCGTTTCTCTACTAGGTTGGAGGCCATCGCTAGTAATCAAAACTAGATGGTCTTTGAAGCTTTCGTAACTAGAAGCTAGTTCCTGGCCTTAGTAACTAGAAGCTAGGTGGCCATTCAAACCTTCTCGCTCACCTTTCCGCCACAGTTTTGGCAGAAGTTCGAGGATTCGGAGTCCGCCTGACACGTGAGCACGGGACGGTCAAAGGTGCAACGAGTGCAGCACGAGGGGTGGGCCATGAGGAAGCCATGAAGCTTTACTAGTTCCATTCGGATGAACGTGTAACTTAACAGTTCTGGGTAAGTCTTGGAAACTGTGAAAGCCATGGCCTGTCTTCAGTCTAATTAGCACGGACAAAGTCACGCAAAATGAAAGCTATGTCACGTGACTGTCGGGCAACACCGACATGGCCTGCCGTCTGTTTGACCTCACGGTCTGTGAAAATTCGGCCCGATGACCGAGTGTTTACAACAAGCGGACGCATAAGAAGAAGGGGAATAGGCAAGCGAATGAACCAGAAAAAACAGTCAACAAATGAGTGAGTGAGGGAGAGGGAGAAGAGAGAGGAGATCTGCTTGCTCGGTTTGTGCTGCGGAGGCAAAGGCCGGCTGCATTTGGTTTGAGGTAGCGAACACAAGCAATGAACTCCACTTCGAACTGAAATCATGAGCGCGCACATCGGTCAGCATGTTATACTTGTGGGCAAGTCCAAGCGACTCACCGTTGATGCACGGCGCAAGCGCCCCTAGCTTATCAGAAAAGCATTTGCCTGCCACTGCCACTGCGAAAACGGAATGAGAGATTGAGCTTGCTACGCTGGGTCTGTCAGAAACCACAAAACAGCTTCAAGCCTGAACAATGGCAGGAGCAAGTTGGTGCGATCGAAGTCCACAGGAAAGGGAAAATAGCAAAGAGGAGCAGGGGCGGGTGTTTTTTGCTGCGATGAAGAGAAGACCGTTGTGGATTTTCCCAAGTTTCTCGTTGTGACTTTGAGGTCACGATTTTCTTCTTACTCTATCAGCCAAAGTTGGTGTTCGCAACCTTGCCCGGCTCCGAGGGATGTGCTTCAGCATGTGTCCGGCAAGTTCATTCCAGTGTTACGCACACACACACACCAGTTCAGCAGCTGAAGTTTGGCTTGCCCGCTTTGCGACGCTCACTGTTTTTGAAAGCCTTTTTCCAAGACAAGCAAAAGGACTTTCGGAAAAGAGCTTCAAAAGGTAAACTCTCGAAAGCACAAATGGTTTCCGCCTACGAATGAGTACGTTGAGCAGCACATGAGGCGTTTGGAGGATAGTCTTGACAGAGAAAAGAGCCGCAGGCTTTTCAGAACTGGACTTGGGTGGATCGCAAAGCAAGACAAGTTCGGCTTGCACATTCGGCTGACCTTGTTGACTGTGACGGTTTGGGAGAAGCAAGAGTGGCTCAGAAACGTTCACCGACATGCCATGAGGAAGAGCAAAGCTGGAACGGCTTTGATTTCTGCTGATTTCGTGATGCAGCTGGCCTTTTCGGACATGGGCCAAAGTACACAAAGAGCCAATTGGCGCCGCTGCAAAGGCATATTCCCAGTGATTTGTGTCCACAGACGAATGTCTGAAGCTTGACCAGCTACGTCCCCCAAGCTGTTTCACATCGCAGGTTGGTGGGATTGTTACAGTAGATGCTTCAGAGAGAAAAAGAAAACTTAAGAGCCTCAAAGACGCTGCTCAACACATTGAGATGTTCAAAGGCCGACTGAAAATGCTTCCTTGCGAGTGAAATCTGAAGGCACCAGAAAACGTGGCGGTGTTGTTTCTTTTTTTTAAAGTGCGGCCAGTTGCAGCGACATTTGCCATTGCGGGTAATTCCAGATTGCGCAAGGCCTTGGGCTGCGCAGATTAGGCACTGACCTTGGAAGAATTCTATTTGTTCAAAAGTCGACACACGGACCGCAACGGCCCCCTTCACCACTTCGGCCTCCGGCGCTGTCCACCTTGCGAATCGCAGCAAGAAAACGGCAAAACGAAAACGAAACATGTTTGCTTCCAAATCTTCACTCTCAGCGCAGTGCGGAGCGCCTGAAACGAGCCCAAATCAGATCTTGTCAAAGCGAAAAAGAAAAATCATTTGAAAGCGCTGGCGTCCCAATTGCTTGGCGCCTTCTCAGAATGCGAAGAGCGCTTTAACGTTTTCCGCTTCTCGCTTTGGTGAAAAAAGGAATAGCACATGCAAAAACGTGAATGCGCTAGACCTCATGTTGCTTGAAGGTACCACTTTTCTCACTCCATCCGCCTTTGGGCTAAAAGGGCGGAACGCCATTGCAGTCCCGTTCTCAAATAGGCCACAGGACAAGGAATGGCGTGCTCGCAAAAAGAACCCAAAAAAAGGGGGCAAGAACCGGTGATTAACCTCACCACCTTGACCGGCACGGCATGGAAACAAGTGGAGCCCAGCGCTGAATCGCCCCAAAACAAGGACAGCTGTGCTAAACGGATTTGAAGCGCTCGACAAAACCTTTAGCTACGATGCCCGGGCGTAGTGTGCTGCAAACAGGGAGGCGCTGAAAAAGGTTGAGAAGTGCTGGCTAATGCTTCGGTGAAGCGGCTTGTTTCAAGAACAAAAGCACCTAGGTTGAGGAAGCCATGTGCTACCTCTGCGAGCAGGACTACTGCGGCAAGACTGGGTTTTCCAACGGCCCATGGACGCCCTTGAAAAGACTAGGATGAAGAAAATGAAAATACCCTCTACGGCGCCGATTAGGACTACCCAGATCAAGAAGTTTCCAAGTGGGAAGTGGCCTTCACAACCTACTTGGGTGCGAAGCGCACAAAGGACAAAAAGGCAAGTGCAAAAAAAATAACTTAACAGAGCCAGTGCACACGAAAGGTAGCAGGCAATCACAAGTAACCCTGGTAGAAGTCCATGACGGCGTGAACCGGCGCAGGGGGGATTTGATCCACGGGGGCGGCCCCCCCCCCCCCGACGAACAGAATCATCTCTTACAGGACCAAACTCAATGCACAATGCCAACTCCTGATTGCAAGACATTTTTGCTAAAGCAAGGAGAACTCAGGTAGTTCAAGCTACCTTTCGTGACATGTGGAACACTGCTCGGCACGGCCGTCCACTTCCAAAATAGGCCAGTTGGGAGACAAAGCCTTGGAAACCCGGACAGTGACGCCCCTGATTGGCCCGTCTTGGCTAAGACACCAGTCGTACGCGAACACCTTCACTTTTTGGCCGAAGTCTCGTACAAACGATAAGTTTTGGAGACTTTGATTCACAAGAGCGTCCCACAAGAGAGTGTCGCGTAAGAATGCCTTACAAGAGTGTCCAACAGGAGTGTCAAGCAAAGTTTGGGCGTTTGTTTTCGAGTGCGTGTTTGCCTTCGGGTTCGTGGGTTCCATGTTCATTAAAGAAAAACCACATGACGATGCTGCACACAAAGAACAAGTTCACTTGGACGAGTTTGAACGCTGTTTCTTCCACCCCCAAACCCGCTGCCAGAAATTGCTGCCGATTGTTCCGACGCAATCCACAATTAAAGAGCCAAAAATGCTGTTTCAATTGAGTTCCACATTAGCAAGGACGCTACTAGGAGCAAAGGGCATCGCTCCTAGGAGCAAGGACGCTACTAGGGGCTCCTGGCATTGCGCAGCGGTTCAACCAGGGTTCACACATGAACACGTCTAATGATGCACATGGTGGACATTTGGCCCAATCCTAGAGGGGCCCTTTTGCGTCTTGACACGTGCCATAGGCCACGTAGCGCTGGAAGACAGCGCTAGAGAGAAAAGGCGTTGGGTTTGCCTTCAACCGTCCTTCGTGATCGACCCCTTCGATTACATCCCTTGATTTTGAACCCACACGCTACCATTGCAGCACCCGCTGCATTGGTAGCGGAGCGACAGCGCTGATCGCCTTGGAAAGGCTTGGATCACCATCGACTTTTCCATCGGCACTTCAACTTGACTTCCACCGCCTTCGTATCGATTTTGGACATCGAGCATAAGTTGTGTGGTTCCCCTTTTTTCCTTTTGCACTTCCCGACGACAGGGTCGGGACCTTGCTTTTGCACCCTCTATAGGATGGCCGACAAGAATGAGCACCACATATCCACCTGGGACGGTCAAGCCAAGACCTGGAGACGCTACACTCGCGAAGTGGCATGGTATGTTCGTGGCACTGTTCAGCTGCGCCACCAAGCTGATCTCCCGCCTGACCGGCCCAGCACGCCTCTTGGCTATGAGCTGGAAGACCACCGAATTCGACAAGCCAGCAGGAACACAGCTTTTGCTGCAGAAGCTAGCAGCTAGCAACAAGCCCTTTAGTTCGCCAAGCCCTTCCCAATTGTGCTGCGATTTGCTCACAGTATTTCAGCTTTGCTCGTCGCACCGGGGAATCCATCAACAACTTCCTCCTCCGGGTGGCCCTGGCGCATAGTGAATTTGTGGAGCCCTTGATTCGCCTTCATGAAGACAAGCTTGGACTTCAAGAAGCTGACCGTGACTTTGGTCTCCCTTGGTGGAATGGCCAAAAGGCCAATGAGGAAGAAGAAGAAGAAGAAGAAGAACAGGAACTTGTTGTTGGTGAGCCTTCACCCACTCGCTCATGGAGGTCAAGGGACACCTCATCACGCCATTCGTTTGGTACTGGTGCTTCACCCTCCTCTGCGCCTTCAACCTCCATGAAAGGCAAGAAAGATGATGATAAGATTGATGAGCTCTCCTGCTTGGGGTCCTACGTGGATTCAGGCTGTTGCAAGCCGCTGGACTGTCTCCCGACGAACGAAGAGACATCCTTAAGCCACTCGAAGCTCTCTTGAGTTTGAGGTGATCACCAAAGCACTACAGACCCTATGGGACGAGCAACTGGCAGATCGCCATCAGACCCACTCCTTGGCTTACCAGGACACCTTCTTCACTGAGAATGACTGGCAGGATGATGGCTGGTGGAACTTCAACATGGAAGAGGACTGGACTTGGCACACCATCTATCACCAGGACCAGTCCGACCCCCACTACCAGGACTATCTCCGGACACCCCGGAGGAAACGAAGCAAGCTGAGAAGATTGCTGAGGGATTGGCTGCGGAAGCTCACCGCACCTGGTCTGAAGCTCAGAGAGCAACACAAGCCCTTCGAAAGGATCGTAGATTTGGCCATGTGGTGAGTCCCAATCAAGCTGGACGTCAATGC